CCCGTCGAGTGTTTTCGTTGTATACCCGATGATTCCCGAAAGACTAGATATTCGCTAACCTTAAAGTACGGAAAGTGCGCACGTGTGTAAAAATTGGCACAAAACTTGTTAAAAAATTATAAAATGTTGAAAACGCGACGCTCGAAACCTCGAAATGCTCTTTTTAGCGTTTTCGAGTATCTTCGGATCGTTCGGACGTCTTCGGTTAATTTCGTTACCGAGCCGATGGGGTCTTCTTGTAGAAAGAGACGATAATTAAGCGGATATATAGAAGAGGAGAGCGCTCTCATTCCCCTTACCGCAAATTTGGCAACCTCCTTGCCAATGAATCCACTCTACGCTCCATCCATTGATTCTTAGATCCATGGCGGATTCGTATTCAGCGGCCCCCAAAATCTTAATTTATGGAAATAGACTAAGTTTTTAACTCCCTGTGCTTCAGTAATTAAAGTTTATTTAAAAAATTTTTTACGACTCTCCATTAAGGATACTGGTCACCATTTTAAAGTTTTCCAAAATCGTCACATGACATTCGATTCTACATAAAATAAACTAAATTTTAAGTATTTGTACGTTTAAAACGGATCAAACCATTTATGGGCAGAGCCATTTGCGTTTTCGTATGGAATGACCCACATATATAGTATATACATAAAATTTATACCATGTCAATATAAAGCATATCAATACTTTCTGTTATTATAGATTGAACTTCTCCACTGCATTTTCTACCAATGTAGTTTCTATATGTAAAACCGTGAAATTAGATAAAATAACAAGAATAGAAGTGGCAATTAGATATTGCATCAAATATAAAGGAAGATTTAATAAAGAAATAGAGAACGCTGTATGTATCTTTTACTTTAAATATTTAAATTTTTGATATTAGTTTTCCTAGATAGTTGATCCTTCTCTTTCTCTCTCTCTCTCTCTATTTTTTCTTTTCTGTTTTCTTTCTTTTTTTTCTTTTTTTTTTACCTATTCTCTCTTTTTTATTACGTATTATGTTTTATGTACGTTATTGTTATTTATTTTTTGTATTTTATATAGATTGTAAATGCGTTGGGAGATAAAATGACAGAATGTAGATATATGAAACCCATTGAAACATTTGATCATGGCTTTAGACCAGAGAAATGGTTCGAAGTTGATGTAATTAAAAATGGTAGAAGAGCTTTGGAAGAAGTTAACTTGAAATTGGGTGAGTATTATTATTTATTACTAATATTTAGAAAACTTGAGAATTTTTCAATTAAATGTGGAAGCATAAATAATTAAATACATTACCCAAATAGCATACAATATTTATAAAATATTTATGAAATTTATTTGAATATTTACAAAATATTTATCAAAACATTTCATAAATATTTTTGTGATCTTAGATTGGATAGATCATAAAGATTTATCATAAATATCAGAAAAATATTTATCGTAAATATTGTAAATATTATAAAAATATTTAATAAATCATTACGATAAAGATTTTTAAAAATATTTTGCTTTTTTAAATAAATATTGTATGTAATGTTTTTTGGATAAAAAATAAGGCTAATGCACAAAATGCACAGAGTATAATACTTCTTGTTTTATTAGATCTCTTAAATATACATAACTGCCCACAGATTGCTGTGATATTTTACGTTCTTCCTGTCTGCAAACATAATTAATAATAATTATATTAAAATAATGTGATAAATTTGTCACATCTCTCAATTTATAAATTACAAAACGGAAAACGCCTAATTTATCAATGTAGCATTAATATGTAGTTATACATATGTGAATTTAAGCAATTTATAATTTCGGCTTTTTGTTGACAATAATTCAATCTATTTAAAGCTATCTTGAAAGCGAACATCTTTTGCATAGCTGACATAAAAATTATTCATTTAAAGTTTATATACGCTATAATTTATATGCCATCATATCTAACAAATATATATAAATTAATAATTCGCAATTATATCTTTAGCCTATCTAGTTATATCCATAGATAATAAGATAGACTCCACATTAGCTATAGGCCTGTTTTTTATAGCTGAACTGCTGCACTAGTTCACAGTTTATTTTTCTCTTTCTACATTGGAAGAAGAAAGATAAACTCTGAACTAGTGTAGCTAGTTCAGCTATAAAAAACAGATCTTATATATACGTGTCCATGCCATTGCGAGACAGAAAATTGTAAGGTTTCTTGTCCTTCTCTGCGCGGATCGGATGCGCAGTGAAGTGTGCAGTAAGTAAAGGAAAGACAGTAAGTGAAGGACAGGGAACTTGATATTTTCTCTCTCTTTCTCTCTTATGCAATATGGCATGGACGCC